GGTCTGGTTTTCCCACATGAATTCCATAGTCAACTGCCTCCAATCACACACCATGGAGCCAAGTAGCTCAAGCCATTGAATTCCCAAAACTACATCCAACCCTGTGAGAGGTAAGGAATAAAGAGTTAAGGAAAAAAGGATACCCTACAAATCAATTTGTACCTCCTCAAACCTCCCTTGGCATATGAGATTTTCTCCATTAGGAACCTAGAGAGTGAAGGTTTTCAGAGGCACCACCGATAGACGCAGCAGATTGGCTATACGCTCACTGATAAATTTGTGAGTCGATCTGCTATCGATTAATACAATTACGTTGTGGGTACCGATTCTGACAGCGATCAGCATGGTTTTAGGATTGTTACATCCCGTTAGTGCGTGCAGCATAATTTCTGGTTTAGGAGGCCCTTCGTGATTCTTTGCAGCTGGCTATTCTTTGGTGAGATCATCGCCTAATAGGTCACCACTATCCTCGTAACCCTCAAACATGAGTATCTGTGGCCCCTGATATTTGTGACCCACAGTAAAACGGTCATTACAATTGAAACATATGTTTTGGGCTCATCTTCGCTGCATTTCTTCCCAAGTAAGTCGCTGCACAGGGACGATATGGACTGGTGGTGCTGCTCGATTAGTATGGGGATGAGCTAGGGAAGCTCGCGTTGGTGGTGCAGGCCTTATAAACCACCTTTACCTAGCAAGTTGATCATCTTTCATTCTTGCTAAACAAATAAAAGTTCCTACAACAGCTCTTTGCGTCCATCCTCGTACTCGATTGCCCAAGCGCTCGAATTCTCACTGGTAATCCCGAAAAGATCCAACTTGCCTTATTGTCGAAAGAGCTTCATCAAAATCTTCGTACTCCGAAGGCCCAAAGCGAGCGGAAAGTTCGTCTTCGAAATTTTCCCATGATAGAGCTCTTTCTTCTTCTTCAAATGTCCTGCGGATCCACTGTCACCATTGGTTGGCCTCTTCTTCCAAGTGATAGGAGGATAAAGAGACTTTTTAGGCTTCAGGAGTATTCTAGATGCAAAAAAATTGACTTACACGATTGAACCACTCCGTTGGATCATCCCTTGAAAATTGAGGAAATTCAAGCTTTGTTGTCTTGGAAGATACCACCAAC